GCAACAAAAGCCTGGCATGGCAGGATGTTTTGAGCACCCCCTAAATTCTCCAAACACCAGAAATCTGCATTACATGTAGTATTTTGTCTTTCTGGGAAATGCTGCTTTTGTATCTACTGTGTTAGTAAATAATTGTAAAGCTACTTCTCCATATTCTCTGACAGGTCCTGCTGCACATTTTCTCTCCTGGATTACACACCCTACAGAATGCAGATCAAGGACATGACTGATGATCCTTCTGTAATTACAAGCTCCCTAATGCTGCCAACATGAGTTCTATACAAAGAGCTAGGTAGAAAGTACCTTGCCCTTTTCTGAGCCCTTACAATCTCTTATGCAGGCAGCAATCACAAGCCATTAGAGGGAAAGACAGAACATAATTTACTTGTACTTTTGGGAAGAAACTGGAAGACATTACTCAGTGCATTTCAAAACTGGTGATGTCTGCAAACAATCCTCCTTATATATCCAACACATTCTTACGCAAGTTCCCCCAAAGGGATTAATCAACTATAACAGCAGATTCTTAGGTTTAGCCTAAAAATTAACTCACTTAAGAAAAAAAAAAAATGGTTAAAAGGAAGACAATTTTGCAGACATTTTTGAATACGAACCAAAGCAAGTTTATTTCTGCCTCACCACACTCTATCATTAAGACTGGAAACAATAGATTCCAGAGATCTCTGTATTTAAAAGAGGAAGCCTGTGTTTGTTTGCATGGTAGTTGACTTGCATAGTTCATTTGTAACAATCAATCAGCAGCAAAGCTGCTGCAAAATGAACAATCCTTGAATACAGATTATATAGAATATTAATTTCAGTAATAATTGAGTACTTGGAGGCTTGCATATAAAGCGACTAATGTATTATACATCTCACGTTATGCTGTCAGAGGTTAGAGGACTTTGAAGCCTTACAAGACAGAAACCATAAATGTGCATATTACATTATCAAGAGGGAAAACAAAGACTGAATTTCTAAGACACACAAACTTCAGATCAACCCAGACAAACATGGTGGGGGGGAAGTGGACAGCTTACACTGTAAAGCCACTCTTTGAAACTGTATCTGAATTATTTAAACTTCTAGAAAAAAGTCACAAAAGTATCTGCAATGTAATATTGCAACCCACAGATTATTAACATGTACTAAAAAGAAGTTTTCTCCTGTTACAGATAAAGGTAACTGAAGAGATACATGGTTTAATCTATGAATATATCTAAAGGGATGGGTGACATGCTAGTTTCAAATAACTACTCTCAGGCAACTTGGGGAAAAAAAAAAGCCAACCCAAAAATGGAAAAAAAAAAACCCCAAACAACCAAACCCAACCCCCCCCCCAAAAAAAACCCAAAAAACCAAAAAAACCCCAAAACCCAACCAAACCACCACCCAGTCCTTTTTGGCATCCTCAGTTGTTGATGCATTTTCAACACCTCCTAAAAGTTCCCACTCTCAGTCTTTCAGCCAAAGCTAAATTCTGTCACTGAACAAAAGTCAGCAGCTAAACAGAAAAAAAGATGTCACCTCTTCATGTGTCTAAGTACACAAAGCTTTGTGTGTAAGAGAATTCACCTCTGTTCTTCTACAATCCATGTTGTGGAGGTATACTATACTAAGGGACAACTACTAATTTTGAATGAACAGTTATGAAGAAAGTTATGAGGATCTGTTTGTGACATTAACTGTACACAGTTAAGATTTTTCTGGTAAGAGCAATTGGAAATTTCTGTAGAAAAAAGTAAGAAGAAACAAAGCTAAGTAAGTTGTGGTAAATGAAGACTGAAGATTTCACATATCAAAATTTCTTTTAGTTACAAAAGGATGAGCTTAATCGTAAGTCTATGCATGATCATCTTAAACCTACAACTGAGAGACCAGACCAAATAGCAAAGATAAAGTTCTTTTAATTTTAATAAGGGAATTATGAAAGTAACTAGAGGCCTCTGATACTTCAGATTTTAAACTTTACAAACATCACCACAAAAAAGTAATGAAGCAATACAGAATTGCACCTGTATATGATCCAAACAGTGCCTATGCAACAGTGCTTGTGGAAACACAGACAGACATGGGGAACAAGCCAGGATGTCCTGTCTGGCTTCAAGCTGCTGCTCCGTAAGGATGCAGATCTTCCATGCATCTCGTGTTATACCTGCCAGTCCTATGCAGATGTCAAAGGGTATGACAGAAGATCCAAAGTGGCATCAAATCCCTATGTGCTAACATCTGAATGTCACCTAAAGATACGCAATCTGACCTGTGACAAACTTCTGAAAACACAATTCAGTTTAACCATTCATACACGTACCTGACCACCTGAAAGGCACTATTTTCATGCAGTTAAAGGCTATGAATGTGGGCATTACAACTACAAATATGGCAGGGTATGAACCGCTTGTAAAACTAAGTACACACATTCATTACAAACAGCAGCGTATACTCCAAGTGAAGAACGGCAACACCAAATCACACATGGGTATTGTAACCAGCTGCATCTTTTTCTTCTGATGCTGGACTCCTGTTCTTTGGTCAGTCTCTCTCTTATGTTAGTGCTGTAAACACTCCTATTTTTCTTTCCGTTTTCCCTCCCACAAGGTGGCGATCCAAGAAATCCCTTAGGTAACTTTGCTGCATATTTTATGGCAAGGTACAGATTTTTTTGAGGAACTGGAAGTCAAGAAAGAACAGTATTTCAAAACACTCCCTTCTCCTCTACCTCAGCAACCAACAACTTACTTAAAAACTAATTCTAGAGAAGTATACTACCAAAAATACGGCTGCCACCGAACTATTTTCGTAACAACACATCTAGAAAGATATATAATACAGTGTATTTAAACACACTTCTCCCTCCATGGCTCAGGGCAGTTAGCTTAATACAGGAAATTCCAGATACTTTTTAGGTTTGAAAACACTGAAAAGCACAAAAGGCAGCTGACTGACCATTCGGGCTCCACAAAGGATACAGTACTTACCTTTACAGAACATACTTTATTTAATAGAAGTTTTTTTCTCCAATATACAAAATAGGGGACCGCAGTCCCAATTAACATTTACATAGTTACACAGCAAATAATCTCCACCATTTACAACAACTGACGACTTTCCCACACTCCCACTGTATTACAGCCAAGAAAAAAATCCTGTAATGTTTTACATACCAATCAGTTATATTTTGTACTTCTCTGTCTCTTTTCTTTCTTTTTAAAGTTGCAGTTTCTGATATCAGTTTAATTAAGAACTTACAATTATTTCAGCTGCACTAAAAGAAAAATGAAATATATAATTTGGAATACTATCTCAAAAACCCTATACAAAATAAAAGTCAGTATCTTATAAAAATACATTGCAGGAGTAAAACCAGTGATACAACAAAAATGTTTTAAATTTTGTTAGGGTATAAAATATTTAGCAACTAGTCTCAGCTTTTATATACACAAAAAAAAAAAAAAAAAAAAGAAAAAGACCAAACATTTTCAATTAGCAAAAAGTAATGTGACAGTTCTTTTACAATACTGTACCTTTAGTATGCAAAAGACTTCATCCTTCTAACTTGCACCATTATCCAACTGATTCACCCCTTAACCCTTTTCCCACTGAAAGCTGAAAAAAGGTTTTAAAATTATTTGAAGCCTTTAAGAAAAATCCAATCGCATTTTCTGCATCTCCCACAGTATTTAAGCTTTACTTTACAATGCTGGTAGTTTAATCATGATACATAATTTTCTATAAAAAAATTCTAGCCAAACCCAGGCTTTAGAAACTTTGCATTTTACAAAAGCAATTTGTTACAGCATGACAGTTGCTAAATAGCCCAATTTATTTAGTGACCCTGTTGAAGATTTGTTCAACTGAGTGAATAGGTGAAGTCATTTCCTGAGCTAAAAGATACAGGTAAGTAAATAGTCAGTTATAGCAGCAGACAGGAGACATTCTTTTTAAAAGTTTTAACAGTATCAATAAAGTAACCTTAGAAAATTACAAGAATGTAAAAACCACTAGCTGAAGAGAGAGTGACAAGGACATCCAAGACCTGATTGCTATAATCTGGAATGCACATCCCATGACTTTCCAGAAATTACATTCAGCCACTGTCAAACAACGTACTGGTAAGTGGAAGAATGTCAAATCACAATAGTTCACATTTCTTACAGGTCCGGTGTTTTGTCACGATTTAATTCTTAATGCTGTTTCATAAACCTAAAGCAATGTAAACGGCTTAGTTGCAGAAATTTTCACCCTATAGGACTTAAGTATTATTACTTTTAAAGGAATGTGGTATCTTCAGTCTCATGAAATTCCAAATCTATTTCTTTTTATTACTCAGACATAATTTATACTTGAGACCTTGAGGGGTTTTTAAGACAGTCACCCATGCCATCGGGAACAGAGGTGGATCCATTTTTAGGAGAGGAAATTATATTCTGAAAATGGCTTACTCTGACCCAAATCATTCTTATTTGCTTAGAGTATGAAACATTAACAAATTATTAAAGAACTATAAAGACCAGTATACCACCACTGCACCATCATTTTCTTATGATATGCATTCTTGAAGTCTTCTGTGTAATAGTTTGATCACCTTTTTTCACTCATTAATGGAAAGAGTATATTCTAATTTAATTAAATAAAGTACCTCACTTAGATACCAGTTCCTCCAGAAGGAAATCTCTCTTCTGTGTTATTCATTTTTACAGACATTGTAGGCATTGTTTTTAAAATTTTTACTGGCTCTTCTTTAACATTTAAACATAATTAGTTTTAATTCAAATTAATATATAAAATTTCCAATACTTGTTAGAATAAAAGGACAATACACAAGATCCTAAGTTACAATAATTTATAAATAAAAATAAACTATCACAAACCAAATCTTTCCCCATACGGAGATTAAAAGCCATAATCTTGACTGATTGTTCCCGATCATACATTATAAATAACGTAAGCTTCTTCAGAGAAGCAAAACATACTTGCCTCCCCGACACCAGTTTATATCTTCAGTGAAACTACTACCATCAAGAAGGCAATTCTGTTGGGCCCAGATGTATCTTCTTGCTTACATGTTAACCCTCCCAACCTCATTCCTTTAAACTTAAGCACAGGAAACTAAGTCCACAAAGAGTCCTTTACCTTTTATACACAAAGTCTGTATAAAATACAGATTTCTAATGCTCCTATTGCACCAATCTGGCAGTGCAGTTAGAATCTGATTCAGATTCCACTGAAGTCCATGAAAGGTTCTCCAGTGACCTTAATGGGTTTTGAATTAGGACCATAGAGACAGTACTACCTAACAGAAAACTCCTGCAAGAGTGGCTGGTATCTCTGTTTCTGCTTATGGGATGCAGTGGAGATGTGTAGTCAGCATGATACCTGAGCAAATAAAATGAAAATGATACAAAGGTTTTAAGAATCCCAAACTCTTTGCTTAGTTGTGTGCAAACTGTGCTACTGCCCCCGGAGCTCCCTGCTTTCCTTTTTTTCAGTGCTTGCTCCATTCCAAGATAGAGAAGACGTGAGGCATAAAAATCTCTCTTCACTACAGTTCCCCCTCAATCCCGAGACTGATAGAAGAGGATGTAACCAGACTCCGAGTTCTTTGAGATGTCTGATGTCAACCCGTAGAATTCTTCAATAGCTTGTGCATCAATTTTCTGTATGTAAAAACCCAAAAGTTTTAAGTAAGAATATCTTGCGTAACATATACATGACATTAAGTTCCACTCTCAAAACTGTTGTCAAACAAAAATAACTTTCACATCATTACATGAAGGAATAAAATACAAATAATTTTTAAACTTGTTAGGTTTTGGTTTCCCCTCTGCCATCAACTGCACAGAGGGTAGCGGATATATACTTTTTACATATACATTTTTAAGTATTAAGTGAACCTACTATAAGTGCCACCTTACATGCAATGCCTGTGTGAATTTCACACAGAAATGTTTTGAAGACAACAATATCCCATTGAGACTTCAAATTCAGTATGAAGAATGTAAGTACAGACTATCATTTCTAAATCTAAGTAGTGTAAGCCAATCAAGTGCAGGGGAGAATAAGGAGAAGGCAGAGAATGAAGGCTAACATTTTTAATGTTTTTGACAGAGAATGCTTGCCTGTGATCCTGTTAGCTTGGAAAGCCTCCTATAACCCCTCCTATAACCAAGATTTTTGTGGAAAGATGCAGAACTTCTGCTAAGAAGATTAAAAGAGTACTGGTCCGGTTTTCATTGTCATAATTTTCAGCTACAAAAGAAACCGAAAGCAAGCTCTCTTGCCACATTTTAAATCAAAGGCAATTAGGCTACAAACAGCAAAAAGGTGGAAAGACAAATTTTCCTTCACTTAGGCAGATTTTATTTAATCTCATTCCCATTATTTGGAATAAAATCTCTCTCAGGAAGGAGTAAGCTATTCCAACTTGATGAACCATGGGCCTAAATGTCAATGAGATGTTTTAGATCTAAGAACAAAAAGATTCCTTTCTTCCTCTTTAAAAGGGCTAAAGGAAAAAAAATACATTACTGCCAGGTGTTACTGCTTTGGAACTGGAGAGATTGTCCCTGATGTTTGTGAAATTATGTGAGATCTATCTACTACAGTGTTCTCTCTTTTCCCTGGAGGAAAGTGAACTTTTGACCCTCTCGAGACATTTCAATTTACTGTGTATCTTGATAAGACACAGAAGCAATCCCTTCACTTTCCCAATAGCTCTGCATATTTCCATGTCTGTCATTTCCTGTGTGAAAAACTGTCCATAATGTGGCTTGGAGAGAAAAACTCTTCAATACCCTTGACTCGTCATGCCACTTAGCAATGTAAATCCAATACCTGTCTCGCTCACTTTTCTTCTTTACAATTATACAGTTCTTGTGTATTGTAAGGAAAATGTAAACTATTCGTTTTACAGATTTAATTAATTCAGATAAAGTCAGGAAAAGGACTTGGACAGCACAATCATACTTCTGTTCATGCATAAGCATAGGCAAGGGGGGAAAAAAGGAAGATGACAGAACAAGCAAAAAACCTGAGAAAAGGACACCAGCAGTTTCTGCTATTTCTCTCAATAAAGAATAAAAGATAACTGATGAAACAGAAAGATGACAAAGTCAAAACTGGTGAAGGGAATTCTGCTGTTCCAAGAAATTAGTTAGAAAAGTTGGGTTTATTTTAAAATAAGAATTCCTGGAAGCATGGCTAATATTAGCAAGACTGCCACCAGAGGCACGTGGCAAAAGGCTCCTGTTTCAGGGATTAACTTTTTAATTTTAGGGTGAAATCTCAAAAATCTGCATTTTCTTCCTATTTTGATATTTGTTATACCTTTGTCTGAAGCAATCCAGGATACTCAATAAAACAGACTACCAGACTGATCCATTCCACTAAATCATAAGCTCCTAGAAAATATGAACAAAGGGCTTGCTCCAAAAAATTGCCCTCAGAAAAGAATTGCAGTAAAAATGATTTGTCTGTATCTTCATTTGCCATGCCTTCTGGTCACAGAAATAGCTTACTAAACAAAGGTGAAACACAGTGGCCATAAACAAAGAAGCTTCTTTTAAGTAGTATAAAAACCAAAATGCAATTCAAAGTATTGTACAAAAAAACTGTAAGGGGCAGCTCTGCACTCAGTTATTGCTCATTTAGACTGGGGTTGAACCCTCTTTTCATTAGCATACCAGTCCTTTTATTTTAAAGTAATCATATACACAAGGGGGGGGCGTGCACTCTGGTTGGTACGAGAAAGAAGCCCAGGGTTACACAAAGCTTACCTCAACAATATCATCATCAAAAAGCAACCAAAAATCATGACTCTTCACTATTGCAATATAATGTCCTCTGTTAGGGCCACTGTAAAATAAAATTAGAAAAGAACACAGACAATAACACACATGTAGGTACAGATGTATTTCTTTTTTTTTTTTTTTTCCTTGTAGAAAAGCAATACTTAACAGTAATTAAAATGGCTACCAGTACAATTTCTGTTTGGATGTTTCTTTTCTTTTTTCCCCTCCACCTATATCATCATCATAATGAGCTCTTCCTTATCTCTACATTTAATATTGTGCTAAAAAAAGGATTATAATTTCAAATGAGGAATAAGCACCACAGGCATTGAAAATACAAATGAAATTTTAAAAAAAAAAAAAAAAAAAGAGAGACAGAGAAGCAAAATCAAGAAAACATTCTGATGTTTCACAGGGACAGAACAGATCCCAAACTATTTCTGATCTTCAGAAAGAAAAAGCTGTAGAGCTGCTGTTCATTTACAGTCTCAATCGGGAATCTCTTTATCTGGTCCATTGTAAACAAACACTGAATTAACCTGACAGTTTAGAAGTCTCAAGAATTGTCACAGCAATGAGAAGGACTCTGAGTTAAATTAAAACTGTCATAATGCACAGCTCTTCAGTTTATGGCAGACAAGAAATTTCTCCACAACTACGACAGAAAAAAAAAAACCAAACCCAACACCTCTAAAAGTCCTATTTCTAATCCGATTTCAAGTAAAGAAATAATACACTTTCTGAAATAGCTGATCCTTACAACTGAAAGTGGACAACTAGCTAAAGCAGTTTTGGAACCATCTTAACTGACTAAAAGCACTCACATAATTTTTATGTCTAGATTAGGGAGGTAAGGTTGCCATCTGTGAGGGACATGTCTGTGTACCAAATCACATAACCCAATGAAAACAGGGTTCATCTCTTTCCACAGCTCTGACAACGGGTTAAGTTTCCAAGACTGCAGCTTGAATGAAGGAGAAAGAAATGGTCAAAATTGGACAGAATGGTCCGAAATGGACAGGTTCTATTTTCCCTAAAATCCAGAACAAGAAGGAGTGTCCCAGAAGACTATGGCACAAATGCTTATTTTCCAAAACTGTCCTGGCCAACTTGAGATCTAGTCATCTCTACTCTAATCGTACGTCTATCCAGGGAGGAACAAGGGTGGGGGTGGAACAAAGGGCAGTAACTGGCAACTAGAGGGCAGGTCTGTCATTTTGAGGGGCTTAAAAGTTGGAAGAATGGGCTGACAAGAACCTCATGAAGTTTAACAAGTACGAATGCAAAGTCTCATGGCAGACCAACTCCATCCAACAGCACCAGCTGCAAACCAACTGGCTAGGTGGGCCCAGGAGGTCAACAAGATGAGCTGTTCGCCCACAGCGGATCATTTTGGTGACAGGGCTGAGCGTATGCAGGGCTGTACTGTAAGAGTAGAGCCAGCAGTGAAGGGATAATCCCTGCCACTCTGCATTCTGGGACCCAGAACCGGACAGGGGATTCCAAACATGACCTTGTCAGTTTAAGGGAGAGACTGATAAACTGAAGAAGTCCAGTGGCAGGCCACTACATTTGTCAGAGGGCTACAGCACCAGATGGATGAAGAGAGCCTGAGGGAGCTGGCTGTATTCAGCCTGGAGAAGCCCAAATAAGGAATCCAACTGCTGTCTTCAACTACCCAAAAGAGAAGAGTTAGAAAGCAATCAGAGCCAGGCTCTTCTTAGAAATGCACAGTGAAAGGACAAGAGGCAGTGGTCACAAGCTGCAGCAAGAGAAATTCTGACCAGATGGGGTTGGGGAGGGAAATCACTGTAAGAACGTTGATGGATTGGAACAAATTGCCCAAAGAGGCAGCGAAATCAGCAGTCCTAGTCATGAAACTGAGCCCAGTGCAACCTAATCTAATGTCAAAGTTAGCCATGCCTTGAGCTTTAAGTAGTTGACCTCACAATGGAAATCATTCTATTATTCTAGATGTTAAATCATCATTTTCCACTTCGGGGCTTTTATCTACTCAATCAGCAGTTTGTAGAGCAGCCCTGATTTTAAGACATGAAACCATAAGTACATTTGTTGAATACAGCAAAATCAAATACAAATCTAACAGTCATATTTTGAACGCAAGGAAACAAAGTAATCAACAAAACTTGTAATTTATGGATATATTTCAGAAAATGGTGCTCAAGTCTGAAAAAAAACCCACCCTAAAGGAAATGCTTTGTAAAGGAATCCGTTCTATAATGCTTTCCTTCCTAAGAAATCTTTTTTTTAAATGATCTTTAAATGTTATTAGTTATATGATACTGTGTGTTTTGTGGGTTTTTTTAAACATAGTTAAGTACATACGAAGATCTGTCATGTGAAATACACTGTTATCACTTTCCACAAAGAATTATCATGGCAAGAAAGCTATATGTTCTGTCAGGATTGGTAGCATCTCCCCACAATGCTTTCTTTCCTAAGTAACTTCTTTTTAAGAGGTCTTTAAATGTTATTAGAGTTACGTGAAACTGGGTGTTTTGTTTTTTAAACATAGTTAAACTTACACAAAAATCCCTTGTGTAAAATAGAGTTATTACCTTCCACAATGAACTACCACAGCAACAAGGTCATACATTCTGTCAGGATTGGTGGCATCTCCTGAGGTGTTAAATAAACGAAGCTCTAAAGGAAAAACTACTCTATAAGAGAGTTTTGTGTATCGATGCAGCTGATCCATGTATTTAAATCTCTTCAAATGGAGAGCTAGAATCATAGGCAGCTTTTTTACTTTCATCCTGAAAAAAAAAACCCAAACCAACAGTATTTCCAATATCCAGCCAAAACATTCAGTTGATATAAACAAACAGGAAACCTGTCTTACTGGTCTTTAAAAAATTTTTCAAGCATTAAAAGAAGCTCAATCAGCCATTTAACAAATATGGAACATGACCCATGTTGCTAAACTAAAGGTGGATTTTAACAATTGAGAGAATTGTAAATGTATTTAAAATAATAAGCTATAATATATAATAATAACAGCCATGATGAACCCACACAATAATTTAGACACAATGACTGCATAGCACAAAATTCATTTTTTAAACATACCTCCCCATAGCTTTCCCGAGTTCCCAAAAGCAAAACCTAGACCCCACTTGGTATACAGTGGAGGTACTGCAACGAAGTTGTTCCAGAGATCCTGTTCCAGTTGAATTTCTCAGTAAACTAGCCAAGTCAAACAAGCTTTTTAAAATAAGCTTTGTTATACCACTTTGTTACATACGTATTACTCCAAGTTTTCCTATCAAGCCATTCGTTTAACATTGCCAAGGGATACAAATAGCCCAGTGTTATTCACCTTACCTCATGCTACCCAAACAAGACAATGCTGTGCTCTAGCACAATAATTTTGTACAAATGTTGCAGCATTATTTTATGGCTGTCAAAGCCAGAAAGCGATAATCTAGTTTTACTGAGAGCTCACTGGCCCCTTTCCCTAGTTTGAGGTATTGGGATCTCACATCAGTGCCTACAAATCCTCATCAGCCAACCACAGCTGGCCTGGCAGCAAACACAGACTTCTTCTCTCTGGGCAATAAATTTGCCCATACTAACAGAGCAACCAAGCTAGAGTGCTCTGCTTCTTGGCACAGCTAACTGCCTTAGATCAGCACTGTGCTGAATTTTTCAAACTACCTTCAGCCCCAAAAGGCAGCTCAAAAGTCTCAGTGATTACAGGTCAAGTTTCAGACACATCTACTAAGACCATATTTTCAGAATGTCAAGAAATACGTTTGTACAAGACAATCCTTTTTCAAAAGATAGGGGGCTGAGGACAAAATCCTTGAAAACTCACCTTCCTTCCCTTTTTCTCATTAAGCTTAGACTGACAGTAACCTGTAGGAAACCCTGCTAGACTCAAATTTTCTCTGTGGCCCACAATGGAACTAGGAAATGAAAAAAGCTGGAGAAGAGCAGAAAGATGACAGAAGCAACTATTTTTAGGCAGAGTTACATTTTTATTATATTACTGAGAAACAGATATAATTTCAGCACTCTCTTTTTTCAGAATGAAAGTCCTTTTCTTATAATGCAGCTGTGTTTGATAATAGAAGCTCTTTCACTGGTGAAGAAATTCAGTACACCACCTTTGCTACTTGGCTAGACACTATCACAGATAGGCTCCAAGTTATAGAGATGGGAGAAAATTATGACTGTAGTGAAACTGAACTGAAGCCCCAAATGAAAAGCAAAATATAACCAATAAAAGTGGTGTTTTGCCAATATGGCAGTGCCTACAGTACAGGGTTATGTCAACACAGCTTATATTGGTCAGGGATCACATTACCTCCCACACAGAAAAAGAGCTAAGGCAACAGAAAACAACAGAAGAGACTTGGCTTCACAACCCTTTAATACACACTAATTAGTAAGCTTAGGTAACGTGTGAAGGCAGACTTTGCAAATGAGATATGCCAAAAGCCATGCGCTGAATCTATGGTAAACCAAATAACCGGAATCAGTGGTATAACCAGTAGAACATGCCAGTGTTCTCATCCCTTCTACTCATCTATAAGCAGCCAAATACTTTCTCAGATAATAAATACCACGCGGTACAGAGGTTTTTTAAAGGTATAAACAAGACTAGAAGAATTATTAGGCAGATAGGAATTGTTTTTAAACATAATGAATTTCAGGCTTCCCTTCAGCTCATCTATAAGCAGCCAAACACTTTCTCAGATAATAAATACCACACAGTACACAAAATCAGAGGTTTTTCAAAGGCGTAAACAAGACTAGAAGAATCATTAGGCAGACAATAATTTGGTTTAAACATAATGAATTTCAGGTTTCCACAGAGCTTCTGATGCTTTTCAGGAGCACTGTCAAGCAGAAGTTTAGCACAACTAATTACGCACTTTTAAGAAACAAACTCAGTTAATAAAAAAAGTTACAAGCCTCATTCTGACTCAATCAGAAAAAAAGTGCTATCAAACTACAACAATCGGAAAAACTATTTTATTATCAAGACAAAACCAAGTTTGAAAAGTCACATGAAATCAGTGACTTCTCATCATTACCCATAATCTTTGATTAGTCACTGGCAGTTTGTTTTAACTTGTCTTTTTAACTTATTTTTGTCTTAAGACCATTCTTTTTCTCATTCATAAAATAAATAATGATCAAAGGAGTCCCAAAATGCTTTACATGAATTCTCATTACTCATGGAAGTAGGCTCATTGAATTCAAGCAAGAGGAATGCAACCAAGTTACTCTTAAGTGGAAGAAGAGTGAGAAAAATTAAGGGAAAAAGAACATTCTCCCCCTGCCTCATACACACTCACAAGGAAATACAAGCGTATTTTCATTAAATACATGGGTTATTTTTCTCCCTCCCTGAGTCTGATGTACCTTTTATGTGCTTCTTGCTTACTGCGACATTCTTCACAGTAATATTTGTATTCACTGCACAGAGTTTCTGTATTGCTGAAACCCCTAAACAAAAAAAAAAAAGAAGAAATGCTACAGATACTAGTTTCTTATCTGAAATATATATATAAGCATGTACAATATAAACATAATTTTATACTCTTAAGTCTACATAAGCTAAAATTTGCTAAGCTTGTAAGCTTTTAGTTTTACTTCCTGCTTTCTAGGTAATAGATAAAAGATAAATTATGAAAATTTGGATTGCTGCATCTACCTTAAACAATGAGTGATTGAAGTATTCTGCTCCACATCAACTGAAAGGTCTAAAAAGTCTTCATCTTTGCTGCTTATCTGCAGGAAAAAAGAACCAATAGATTATAGTTAAAACTAGTTATACTAATTTACCTCTGTTTTTCAGTACCATTTTCTATTGACAGAATGCATCTTTTACCTTACAAAAGCCTTTTAAAAATTGTTACAAGTGGCCTTTCTATTTCAGAGATTTGCTAGATCTCCGTTTCTGATTTTGTTCAGAAAGAGGAAGACGGAAAGGTATATGTGTCTGTGGGGGTATATAATGCCAGTTGTCCTTATGCCGTCGATTTCAGTTCAACAATATTAATGCCAAGCTCCTTCTACACCTCACTCTTTTCAAAAGAATACAATCACTGGGATTCTTCTATTTAGTACTCTCACCTCTGTTCTTCCCCTATGATTCCCTCCAACTGAAAGTTATGTATTTGCATGTCATAGTGTCCCTAATAAAGAGCACAAATACTTTGAATCCTCTTCCTGGCTAGATTCATACTCTTAAATGAGAAGCAGATAGCAAATTTGTTGGTAAATGAGAGCTTGGGACTTGGTCTGACAGAGGCAGAATAGTGCATAGCCATTTCTTACAAAAATGCGAGAACAACAATTAAAGTGAAAAAGAAAATCCTAGAAGCAGCGAATAAATTCCATCACAAATCCTGAAAATGGTGACGGATGAAATCCACAGCTGCCCTGAAAATCAACTATGTTATTAAAAGGTTTAGGAAAAAGCAATCTGCAACCTTAACTTTTGTCTACTAGTGTTTCGTCTCTGTGTTTAGAGATACTCAATGTCACTGATGAGAATGTCCTCTGCCTTTTATGACTCCTAGGTACAAAAGTAAATGCTTTCAGAAAAGATGCCTGGCTGCAGCTTCCTGACTGAAAGCAGGAAAAGTTAAATAGCTACAGGAGAACTAATGTAAGTTGATCTTTAAAACATATGAGATTTATGTTCTCTTTTCAACTCAGAATAAAAATAAATTTAGAAAGCTGTTCTCTGACTATCAAGAGATGAAAAACACACAGTTCCTAAGGGCAGCATACATGGAGAATAAAAAGAAAAATACAGGTGGTCAAGAGTACTATTTTTGAGAATTAACATCATTGGGCAAATCCAAAAACTTATGAAATTAAGTTAAAAGATTCTGTTAATATCTGTGAGAAGACTGGGCAAGGATTCCTCCCACGCTTCTGTAGCTGATCTTCCCAGGAGTTGACATAGGTACAAAAAATATGTCACTATGCCAGTATACATCACATCTACTACATCATTTAGATGCAGAAGTGTAATGTTTATACTTTTAAAGGGATAACAGAACATATATGGAAAAATTCCAAGATGTTTTTAGGGTGCGAAAAAAAAAAGCCACCTGCATCATCAGTGTGCACGGCACATTTCCTGTCTTCAGGGATGTACTGTGGTTTAGTTGTGTGGACAATTCTTCAAAATATCCCATTGCAAACCACTTTGGGAATTATCAAACTTGAGTTTATAACACTAAGAACTCTGGTGGAAATCACCTTAGCCTAGGGATTAAGAATGGCTCAGGAAAAAAAAAAAAAACAGTTCTAGAAAATACTCCACTGCAGTCTTCAGCTAGGACAGCTGGAATTAAGGAGTCATGTGATCAGTGTTATTCAGACATGCAATTAGATAATTCTTCCTCTCTTGGTCTAATCAAAGAAAATTCCATGAAACAATAAAAGATTTCACAGGCAGCTTTATCCCACGCAGAAGCTGTAAGGGCGGGGAGGAGAAGGAGAAGAGGAAAGGGATGTGTTGTACTTGGTTAAAAAGAGATTGCTACTGAAACTGGAAGTTCACAAAAGGAATTCTTCCATTCTTAGTGATAATACTGATAATACTGCCTTAAAGAATCTCTCTCAGGTTAGCCAGCCCATTGTGCACTTAGGATCATGAGGAACCGTTAATGGCTTTATTGAAAGAACAGCCAAGTGGATTTTTTCCATCTGTGTTGATAACCTAGAAATTGCTATTCTTAATTTTCAGGATTTTTTGAACATTAGTATTTGAACAGTACTTTTTTTTTCAACATTAACTCATACAGTTTTAATTAAAAAAAAAATATTAAAAAGTCACCCTCCCCTCTAACCCCCCCCCTCTTCTGTAGAGGTTGTGTTTCAAATAAACATCACTAAGTTCCTCAGACTAAAGTCACCAATGCTATATATTTCAATCATCTATAGAATGAAAAAAAGATGGACACGGTCAGAAAACCTCATCACTTGCAGAATCAAGCCCTGATGTGTTCAAAAAGCCATCCGAGTGCTCCTAACAGGAATACCTGAATAGTAGTGAAGGATCTGGGTGTTCCAACATTCTGGCTAAAGGTACGTTGTTCTCACATCAAGGACATAATCTGCACTCAAACAGCTCAGCTGTACTCTGATGACCAATGCCACAGAGAACAGAAAATTCAGAAGGCTAACACTCACGGAATCTGTATTTCTTTCAGTTTGGAATGTCACTAGCAATGTGAGTCAGCTCACTGACAAAAAAGCTTTTGCAATTGTAGGCTCCCATGTGTGCTAAGACAGAAACTATTTTTTAAACGAAGCTGAAATAAAGTGCATGATTTATTTTGGTTTCAAATAAAATAAGAGAGAAAAAAACTGTAGGGCATAGTTAAGGCTTCTATAGTACTCCTGTAAGAGAGACCACTGAGATTTTCCTTATTGCCTTCTCTCAGTCCAAAGCAGAATTGAGCCAAAGAATTTTATGCCTTGTAGAGTCATTTGAACACAAGAGCAAGACCGTCAGCTGGAGAAAAACAATACCAATATGTTTGGTGCTTTTCACCAAAGACAATTTCCTATTTTTCTCTGTAGAAGTCCTGCCCACATTTAGCTGTTTCAAATTTAATCTTAATGAAGTCAATTACATTATTTTCTGGTTTACTGTTCTTCTTTCATTAAATTGTGAGAGAAATCTGTAAAACCAATGAACTTCCATATCATTTTTATCAATTAGCCACAAAAATTTGTAACATTCACTTCATCTATCAAGGAAGCGGGAAAGCATTGTAACAACAAATCACATTAAAAGCATGTAAAGACAACTTACAATCCCTTTTGTAACATTAATTTCATAGTGCGGCTTGACCCATGACACAACCTTTGTTAAAGAATCGTCTCTACATTCCTTCTGTTCCACTGTCCATACTTAAACTGAGGATAAATCTTCAGTCAGTTAATTTTTTTTATCTTAAAAATGGACTAATTTCCAGTGCATCCTGGAACACAGCTCTTTTCTATAATCAGGACAACTGAAATTAGAGTAAAATCTTGCCATGCTGATTTTAGGAACATTGAGTATGTTTGGCCAGTTAGAAGATGATCATTCTCACTTAGAGCAAAGATATATTATGCTTTATATTTCAGTATGCATTAAATTCCAAATTTAAATAAAAAATATGCTAAGGTTATTGTTTTATCATTAAAAAGCACTAATTCATCCACTATTGCTGTGTAATCTTCTACAGGAGCTATGGCCAAGTACTCCTGACATTTTAAGTTATATTTCTGAACACAGAAAGACTCTAATTGCTTCCAACAGCTTCCAATAAACATTAAAACAATCATATATGCTCACTATATTTGAAAATAAGACACTATTCACAGTAATATTACTTATTTAATGTGTCTAAATGTGTTTCTAAGTGCCCATTTTCAGGTCACTGTGTTTTAATTAGACACAAGCTGATATATTGAATAGATAGAAGCTGATAAAATAGTTTCCAGATTATTAGGGTTTGGAAAACAAAGGCCCTAATATACTAAAAACCAATGTGTATTAGAACACTGAATTTAAAATTCAACTGTTCAAGGAGGCACAGTGGCAAACAGACATGGTATATCCTGTTCAGCAATAGCTAACAGAAAAATAGAACTGAACAATATTACTAAAACTCTCAGAACTGTGATAGGCTTGGTTACTAATAAAATATGCTGGCAAAGAGCCTATCAGCATTTTAAAATTGTATTAAGGACTGTACTTAGATCAAAATCCTGACAGCAGTAATTCACCATGCTACAGCGAGGAAAGGTAATGATGGCAGTCATGTTAAGAGACTAAGCTAAACTCATGTTTCAAGAAGAAAAAAAAATCAGTTCAAGAACTAAAAGAGAAGCAATTGATAGTTGCCATGAAATAGTTATTAGGGAGGGGAAATCTACCAGGAAAGAAAATATGGCAGCTAGAAATAAGCACTTAAAATACCATGATCTACTGAAGTCTGCAGTTACATTACATATGACATTAGAAAGCTATTTTCTTCGAAATAAAAGAGAGGCGGGTATTTCTAGTAGACAGAGAAAATTACATGTGAAATATACAGATTTAACCCAATTAATTCCACCGTTCCAATGTCATGCTGAAATATGTGCATTACCTAATTAAGTTAAGGAAAATAGGTACGAAGAGTCATAAAAAAAAAAAATCATTTAGCTTTTTACAGTATCTAAGGCATAGACCATGACAGAATTACTGTAATTTTAAAATTGTGCTGCTTTTTCTCTTTCTCAAGCAGGTAAAATTCAATTATAAGACAAAACATATATTTCAGAAAAACATTGTAGAACTATTCTCAAAGAAAATTTTACTATAGCTTACTCAAAGAAGGAGTTTATTTCTCAGGGTCTAGTATTAGAAGTATTCCTGTGGATAGAAGACATTTAGGAAAGGATTACTTTTCCTGCACGTTATGTTCTTTGGGAATCCCAATCAACTGTCTCAGTGCCAAAAGTCAACCACAGAATCTTGATTTCAATGGCTTTAAATTTAAAAACCAGAAATTGGTGGAAACTGATTCAGAATACTTATTTATGGAATGTATCACTAAGCATGACATTAAGTTATTAAGACATTAAATTTGAGAAGAACTCCACATCCCCAAGTAGCAGGCTTCATCGCTCTTAGGAATACATCAATTTAGAATTTTCTAATCTAAATTTTGAAGTTGATTATGATCACACTGACAATTGGGCATTTTCCTAATATTGACCAAAAGCCTTTTCCTTCAACTCATGCATCAGCTGCTGAAATTTTCTCACTAACAAAGAAAACATGCAATGTTCATATGAATGTAAAATTTCTAAAGAAAGAAACTAATCTAGTACGTTAGTCTGTTGAGATAAAGGAATCATGAAACATGAAGTTCTGAAACCTGGAAGAATTAATTTTACGAAGTATATACAGACTTACAGTTTCACATGTAAGACATCTGGTTTCATTAGTTAATGTTCCCTGAAAGATTTCATGAACCCAGGTTGGGTCTGGTGGGCTGTTATTTTCATTGTCGATGTTGCCATTAGGTAGGCGACCATTTTGTTTCTCTTGTTTTCTTTCCTCTTGCAAGATATCCGCAATTGTATTTAACAGATAGTTTAAGAATTCATGTGCATCCTGCTGCATGTAGTTATCAAAAAGCTCTACAAGATAAAACAACAGAAGATTTTCTAATTAATCAGTTAGTGCTACACTACAAAAAAGTTTTTAAAAGAAGTCGAATTTCAAACCCAGTGTTTATTTCATTTCTTGAATCATTCATGACAATACAACACCAACCCAAAATGCGTACTTCATAAACTAGGGCAAAAATACAGGGGGTGGGAAGAGGGGAGGTCAAGTCAGCTTACATTCACAGAAATCTCTCAGCTGATCAGAATTAACAGAAGAGTGAACCGTTCTCCAAGAAAACTAGGGCATGATTCATCTACCTAAACATAGGTGTACATAGTGCTACCTGAAATGTTATAGCCTATCCTGCCCAGCCTCCAGACGCCAGTCCACCATGATTTGCATCTCCTACACAGGCTATGCTATCTCTGCCAAGCTTAGGTCAATGTCTTGGATAACACAGAGCATCTCAAACGGCACTAGATGTTGATATTTTCCAGAAGTGAACTGAGAACTTATGACAGGAAATGTTTCATCATCTGTATGTTCTATCACAGGAAGAACATGAACAATAAATGCTCAAAACATTGCTTTATTTTCACTTTTAGGGTTTTAAGTCCACTGCTGCTCTGTCACAAGCACAGTGTCATCAATACTAGCAATGAAAATAAGACAAAAAACCTAAAGATACTGATATTTTCAAACAACTCTTTTCTTTCTCAAAGCTCTTTAAGTAAGGTAGTATTTGTAGAAGCCATGTCAAATTAGCCTAAAGTTCTAGCCACAGCAAGTGCAAATGGGCTTCAAATTAGGACTTCAAGTAATAAATAGATCTGTCTTTCAAGATCTGAAATATTGCTTCTGGAGATTGGTATATGTGGCACCTTTATTACTGGTGGACTTGTTGGATAGATAATAATGGATTCAGTATGCTTTCTGCTTCATGTCCTCAGTTTGTCAACATTTCTAAGCATACTAGTTTTAGGATTAATTCAGTGGAAGGTGAATAGTTTCACTGGCACATACTTGCGATGTATAGCAATGATACAGATTAAAGCATAAAGTTGAACTCTCTCTCTTACAAGTCTACTCTCTTGTTTATGTTCAAATTGGTACTACCATAAAAACATCATTTATTGTAGTCCTCTGGGATATCAATCTGAGAAATCCTCTGCTGCTACAAATCCTCACATTAGGAGTGGGACTAAGAAAACCACAAAGGCATTGAATCAGATTTATTAAGTTACTACTTCTCTCTCTGATGAGGAATTGTTACAAGGAAATCTACCTGCCAATTTAAAAAGCATTCTATATCCCTGGCTAATATCATACAAGTCTTTTAATGTGCAATTACTTCAGTTAATTATAAATTGCAATTTGCTTGTGGTCCAAGAATGTACTAAGAGACTGGCCTTCAGTGGAGGGGTAATTCCCAGGACTGGAAAGATCAATGAAAAGGATACTCAGTGAAGCTTAAGTTTTGAAGTGCATACAGGGACTACATGGAAGCTTTACTATCATTCACTTGATGGCATCCAGGAGTAAACTTCAAATAGGAAAAAAAAAAAAAAAATCCTGAGTTACTAGCAAAGTAGGGAGGAATGTGATGCTAATCGAGATTATTTGGAGAGGTTAACTAGTGCAACAGGTCAGCCAAGAGTATGAACCAAGTAGTTTATTTAATGAACTACTACACCACTTTTGAGAAGTGACAGGTGAGAGTAAGTTCAACTCTGAATCTAGCCAACTGTAAGGTCTTTATTTAATCAAGTCAGTCAAGGCAGAACAAGAGCTACCAGTCTTTTGAGGTAAAACACTTCAGAGATTCTTCACTGTGTTACATCATGGACCTCTCAGGCCTATGTGCCCAGTCACTAAATTAGCATTCAGTACAACAGAATGAAAGCTACACATTGTTCATTTTATGATTAGAAGAAATTTAAGCAAACATAACAGTATACCTTCAGCTGACTTCAACCCAGCAGCTGCTTCCCAGCCAGTTAAGCTTTAACGTCATTAATATACGTATGTTGTATTCAGACTTTGAAAATAAAGATGGAATAGCAGCACTGTAGTCTGGAATACATTAAGATTATGTCCTCAGTCATCGCCCTGGTACAGCTGGATACTGACTGGAACAGAATCTAGATCGGTGTTGCACGGCTACCTAATTCTTTAACTAACTCTTCTTTAAAGCTCAAACTTATATACCTTTACAATAAGCGCTTAATAGCATATATGATGTCCATGTAATCTGGCCTGACAATTTAGCCATTTATTTGTAGAAAGGGTGAGAGTATCGTCATTAAAAGAGACCCCAAAAGCCAGCAAGAACTGAACTCTCACATCTGATTCCTGTAATGAAGATTTTCCAACTGCCTTCTCCTGCTTACAATTTTAGTGTCATGACATAATTAAGCATTAAAAAGAACACTTTCTAAAACGAACTTAATGGCTCCTGTGGTTTACTTTCTGCTTTCCATTTGAACTGTTCTTCACATTTGTCATAGTTAGTCAACATTCATTAATGTAATGAACTATTTCTGTAAATGCATCAATGTACAAGCATACTTACTCAAGTATACTTAAGAATTGAATGACAGCTTTCTATTCTGCATAGGTAAGAGATTGTACATTACCTGAGAGCTTTTTTTAAACAATATTATTATAATTCATGGCATGCATTTGCTGAAGGGGTCACTTCAAATTAGTAATGTCATAATATTTTATTTCTTGTTTTTACTACAGAGATGGTCGTCATAACATTTAAACACTTTTTTAGTCTGCATATATAGTCTTGGAGAGAATACAACAGTATGAACATGTCTATTGCAGCAATGTCAAATATGGTACCTCATACAGTTTGTTTAAAGCTAGTGGTTATTTTTTAGGAAAATTTTATGTTCTATTTTTATAAAAGTGCATCCAAATTGAGTAGATTACAAGGTTTCATTTATATTTTAACATCTCATTCTTTTCTAAAACATTTTGACTGATTAGCCCTGCAGATAAGAAACAAGAAATGTTAAAAATGTCTGGAAATCTCTTGAAACTTAGGATATCAATTACACTAAAAAAAGTTAGCCAAAACTACTTAGTGATTTCAAAATTCTTTAATCCTTTAAAAAGCAGGTCAAGCTAAGTGTTGCATACATTCTAAATAAATTTAAAAATTTGTGGGTTTTTAAGTGGAGGGAAGTCTTAATGTCCTTTCTACACACTCAGTTTGGGAGACTGATTCCTGCATTGAGAGCGCAATGTTTTTTTAAACACAGAACAAAAGCTTTACAGTGAATTTTGATTATAAAAATACAATTCATAGCAAGGCAAAATTAGCAACCGATTTCATAAGCAGCCACTGACAATACACTCAGTTCTACATGAAGAGAGACAGACAAGGATTCTCTCTCAAAATGGCTCCAGGGTTACCCCTTATTCTAGGGTCACCTCTTCTTTATACTGCAGGACCAAGAACACTTTCCATGTGTAACAAATATGTAGGTATTCCACTATGTCAACTTCAGAAGTAAATCATAATTGCTATGATAGAAAGAAAAAGAAAAAAAGTTACCATTTTCTTTTCGTAATCTTGTTATAAATTTCTTGGGAGGTATTACTCCAACTTTTTTCTTCTGGGTGGCTATACTGTGGAAGAGATCAGCTAAGCAGGTAAGGAGATTCTCTTTTTTTCTTGGTTGACTCTTGTATGCTAAGACTTTGTCTCGAAATGGTCGACAAAAATAAAGTGCCTGAAGAACTGAATTGCAGTAGCATGTATTCCCGAACTATAAAATAAGAGAGTGATTTATTAGCTTGTATTGTATTACTGTAGAGAGGTAAAATTAAATCCAAAGTATAAGAGACTGCATAAGCAGGGGCAAATTTTCTGCAAGTCATTTCTTCTTGACTTTAAGGTAGTAAAGCATATTTCTGTTTCACAAAGGATTAACAAGTACAGTGTAAGTAAATGCAAGAAAAACCTAGGTAAATTTGAACAACACTATATAATTTTGTCTCACTTGTAAATTTAATTTATTAGTATTATTTTGCATTTACTTGGGTCAAAACGTTCAATAAATACCACCAATTTCACAGCTCCCAAAATATGCCCAGGTAAAAACATCTATCCATCTACCACAAGTCAGCCACAACAGCAAAGAACAGGCACAGCATGACCTTGTACTGTGAAGAAATTCAGCTGTAAATTGAGAGCTTCTCAGACACTTCAGAAATCGGATTCTCTAAATCTTACTAGTTGTGATCAAAGTCAGAAATAACTGCTTTAACCTGTTCCTACGTTTTCACTTCACATTTTAGGGTGACCAGATTGGTATTCAGGAGTTTTCTTAAAAGACTGCAACATGGCTTGGTTGGGGTTCAAAGCTATGGCACAGGTGGTAGTTTCAAATTGAGACTGAAAGGAAAAAAAACGCACAATTTGGACACGTGCATTTTGAAGGAGACAGGCCACCAAATTGAAACGGGGACGTTAGAAAAGCACCTGTGACCCCCTTTGTACCAGGACACTCCAGCTGTCCCTCTTCCCCGGACTCCTTCCAGCTGTTAGGCGCTTGAGTCTTGTGATGGCTGACACTGCCTCCAGCTCACCCCAACGCTGCAAACCTCCCCATCACTTCTGAGAAGGCACCATGAGCTGTCAGTGGACAGAGCCACTCTCATTTTATGCTGCCCTCCTGCAGTGAAACCTATTATCTAACACTGAAAGTGTGAGAAAAATCTTTATAAGGCCCTCGGCAAGTGATCCAACCTTTCAGCTGCAGTCACTCAACCTGCAAATTGAAGCCCATACCCACTACACACATTCTGCAAGATGTGAAAATAACATTCATATTTACGTTTTATATAAAGATAGTAGCATACACCAGTAGCAAATTCTAAGACTATATTGTGATGGGGAGACTGTTATGTAGCAAACAGAGTGCATTTGCAGATATTTTAAGAGCAGGTTCTTTCAACAGGGAAAAAGAAATAAAAGCTTTTATATTTTAGGAATAACAGGGAAGTAACTGCTTCTTGCTCTCTCTCCCGATTAAGACAATGACAAACAAGAGCACCATGCAATTTTATCAGAAAACTGGAAAATAAACTGTTTTCCTTTATTTTAAATTAATGAAATATGAAGAACTACTTTCTAAATACCCAAGACACACTTAAAGAATGAGTAAGAAGTGTATTTGTTAAAAAAAGGTATTAGTAAGTCTTAAGGTCTCCATATTTAAAAGTGAGGAAATTAACGCCCATTAATTTTATTTCTTTAAGCTAGGGAAAATGTTTATATTATATTTGTGGTCCAAATCTGCACTCAGGTAGGTCAATGAACTTAAGAGCTAGAAGCAGATGAAATCACACAGTAGTTTATGTCAAAACATTTAATAATTGTAAGCTAACTATTTATGAGTTTATAATTAGAAATAGCCATAAAAGGAGAACAACACTAAAATGTTAAGAAAGTTCTTAAAATTCAATCAAATGGGAAAAGTGCTAAAATTTCTACAGCAAGTGTCAAAAGATGAAAAGGCAGCAAATTAGAAATGTCATAACATTCTAATTTTAAGAAGGAACAGTTTGATGAGAAATTAATTAGAACGGCAAACATGCAATGAGAGACGACCAAAATATGAAGCAACAGCAAACTCGGAACACTGAACAAAATTCAGGAGATTAATTTAATATGAATGTATGTTAACCTACATGCCTGTGGACAGGAAATTAAAGCAAGCAGACTAAGTTCATAAAAGTTTTTCTCAACCAAATTCAGAAAGACAGTAGGCAATAGAAGAGTTTCAAAACAAACTCCTGAAGAAAACGTAATTAGTTCACATTTGTTTTATATCTAAAGCACCAATCTTCATCGCTTCAAAACCTAAAATATTTTTAAAATAAAGGCTTCCAATCATTAAAAAATTATAATGGTACATGTACTAAACACCAAGGGGGAAAAGGTGGGGAGGTTTCTAGACTAAGCAAACAGAGAATTTGTTACATGAATAAATGCTGGTCCCACCACCATTTTTACTTTACTTCCCATCTTTGACACCAATACAGAAGCACACCTCTCGTTTAGAAAACACCCAAGCCTTGCTCCAGTCTCCCCATCCTCCCACCCCCTACTCAACACCTATATTTGGCTTTCTAATTCTGCTTCTTCAATACTGAGCTCCCCTGCTAACCTGGCCAGACACCTTCCTTCTCCCCTCACTTTACAGTCAGCACAGCCTCAGAAGCGTAACACTTGTAAGAAGCCGTGCAAGCGCGGCACTGTATAATAAGAAGCTTGCAACCATAATCTGCATGTTTTGTAGCGACAGTGTAAACACTCCAACACCACTCTGAAATATGGAAATGCACAGCAGTGGAAGCCCATCAAACTACTCCAAACTAGAAGGATATTTAGCTAGCTTTAGAAATTAGCTAGCTTTATTCAAAATACAATTGTAAGAAAATGAAACGCTTGTGAAATCTGCCTCAGAATAACAGTAGAAAACTCTAAGACAGACCATCATTGTAATTTTGTATCTTAAACTGTCAGCCTGTATAGGCTACTGAAACTCCTCTATCTCATTCAGGGGAAGGTACTAGAGACTATATAGAGTTACTTTAACCTGTGTTTTCAACTGGTTTATTGCTTGCCTCCTTGTTTCTGTGAGGATCACCTAATGTGATGTGCACATCTAAGACAAGTAAAAAAACAAATTTTCTTTTTTTCAGTTCGTATTGTTCTTCTGTTCTAAATTCTGAGAAATCAGATTATTTCCTTTCACAAAAATACTGCACTCTGTATGTTTCCCCCACACCTCTCTCTCTCTTTTTTTTAAATTCTGAAATCAAAGTTACAACACTCGGACCTGTGTGGAAATGTAAAAAAAAAAAAAAAAAACAATCAGGAAAGTTGCAAAAAAACAACCCCACACTCACTAAGGCTTTTAGCCTTTTTCCGATGCAACATACAACTGGGAAGAAACTTGGCTGTTGAATCCCACAGACCTATAGATCTACAAAAATGAACAGATCTGCAAGAACTTAGATCTGCTTAGAACACTGTCTTTGTGTAGTGCTAGGGTTCCTCCCAGCTCTGATGCATTAGCAGCTCTGACAACGTGTATTTGATGCAACGAGCCATGCCAGTAAACAGGATTTCTCTAAAACACACAGATCCATTGCAAGAGACTGAATAACCAAACTTTCTGCTCTAGAAATTTGGTAAACTGCTGAAGAGCTACCAGAGTAGCTCTTATGAGATTAAAAATGTTATTATTTCATACTCATTGGATAAAATCATCGATTTAATTTGTGAAGCACACAGATTTGAATAGTTTGCATTACTGCACTGTAGAAGGAAAGAAGAATGATAGGCAGCGTTGATGTTCCTGATTGTCCATGTGCATGGGACATCATACTACTAACGTTTTCATCTTACCACGTATGCTGATTTAGTGAATGGTATTGTCCTTTCTGACAAAATTCAAAATACTGAACTTTCCATTTAGAGCTTTCATCGACAGAACCAAACATCCCATCAACCATCTGGTCTTCCATATGCTTCCCATAATTGCCCTTTCTTAATTCTTCTTTTACCTCTCAACTTGTTCTTTCAGCACATCCTCTGAATAATCTGTAGATTCCACCACAAAGCTGGAGAGGAGGTAAGATAGTGCTTCTACCTTCTCTTCTTTTACACTACCTCTGGATAAATGCTACATTTACCATTAACAGATCTCTATTTCAGAATTGTCATCTTTATCTAAAATCTCGTCCTGCATTCCAGACATCTCAAATGGCTAGCTATCACACAGTTAGAAGAGAGCTATTGATTTCCACATTATCTCCATTTTTTCCATTACTCTGGAGAAAGTTAGGACAAACAAAATCAATAAACAAATTAGAAAAATTTAGCAGTAAATGGAAGCTAAGAAGCTCTAAGAGCTTCACTTCTTGTAATTGCTATAAAACAATTAGAGAAATCAATGAAGGCAAAAATTGTTATTTCTACCACTTCTCAATCTAATAGTACTCTTAATTTATTATCTAATTATCTAATATTTCTTTCAATTATCATTAGCTCTGTCATTCTTTCTGAAGGCCACTGGCCATAGTTTGCTAATGAAGAGGTCACACTACCTTTGTTTTTCTTTTCAGATTTAAATTCTGCAAGCTTATTACACATTTACGGCATGTGCATGCTGTGTTAGTAACCACAATCTGTATAAACAATCTGAAAACCATCCAAGCAACAATATGACCGAATTTCCTTAGCCAACCACTGTACCTGAAAAACACAGCACCAGTGTGCCATAGATGTAATGGAATCTCATTTTACTATTTGTTACAATTAAAAGAATTTTGGTCCATAAAACTTATTGTTTGAAGCTAAAATAAGCAACATTCCTGTACTACACAGAAAGTTAAGAGCACACTGAGATATCTTAGACGCCCGCCTCTTGTGTGTATGGTTGAAGGCAATGACTTAAACAGAGATCTCCCCTCAAATTTCCTACTTCTCCTGGACTACAGAAAGCCAGAATTTGTTGATATTCATTATATATTAGGAAGATTGTCATAGAATCATAGAATCATTTAGGTTGGAAAAGACCTTTAAGATTGATACTTTTCTTAAGGGTACAAAATATGTAAAGCTTCAAGATTAGGGGTACAATACAATTTTACTGTTAAGTCTTAAAGCCTCTCCAGCCTTGGACAAGAAATTAGCAAAACAGGTTATCTGTCAACAGAAATAACAGATTTGAGAAAAGATAAGAACAGCTTTGATAGGAAGCCTAAGCTCTGTTACAGAAATAACAACAAGTATTAACAGTTAAACTACTGTATTTCCTCTTTTCAGAAAAACAACGCATCATTTTGAAGGTACTTCAACTTTTCAGGAGAAAGGAAAAAAATTACTCATTTAAGTCATGGCATTTGAGGTGCATGTAAGTCAGCTTATCAGTAAGAGTGTTTACTGACTGCACAGTATATACTCGGACTGCAGACTCTTGAACCATGTCAGTGCTAACCACCAAGAGGAAGAGACATATGTCATAGTAGCAGGACAGCATTAGAAGTAATTAGTTTCATTAAAAAATGCAAGATGATAGCCCTTGATACATCAGCTTGGTTTAAATATGTACTTTCTGAAGCCTCAATAAAGAAAAACATTTAATATTTCATTTCAGAATAATGCAATTTCTAACAAGATATACTTTTCATGGGTAATAGCAGAATTTAAAATTTAGATTACTCCTTAAAACTAATGATTGAATCAAACAATTCAGTATGTTTTTTCCACCACTGCTTTCCCCTTTGGGCTCAGTACTTTTTTTAAATCTTAATACAAATACCAGATGTGAATACTTCATATCATCAACAGTCTTTCACAGATTTTTTTTCTTTTACTGTATTTATTCACTTAGGTTGGCATATGATGAACTACAAGCTACATATTTTAAACAGCTTTTTTTTAAAAAAAGACTTACACATTTTAATAGCAAGAAAGTGATTTAAAAAATACCCTACAATTAGCAAAATGAAATAAAGTATTAAATACACAGTCCCATTTCAACAATTATTTCAGCAGCGTATTTCAACAAATACACTGAATATTGAAACACATTTCAATAAGTATGTATATTCAATGACTATATCTTTCAGTGTTTTAATTATTCACTAAGTCACAGTCTTGTAATTTAATAAATCCACTTGTGGCATTTCAAAGCAATGAAGCTATGGACTGAAACTTACATTAACCAAACCAAAATAGTGCTCATTGACTGGAAATTGTTCCGGACCAATCTCTTTCTCCAAAGCTGAGGCATTGGCGCCCTAGAAAAATGAAAAGCATTTTCATTTTATTATATTAGTGTTGCAACTATGTACACAGTGAATTTAACTAGTTGAGAAAAAGAAGTGAAGTTTTCTGGCAAGGATAAATGACCAAAACCAACAACCAACAAAAAAAAACCCCACAAAAACCCCTGGTCACAGCTACAGACCTTGCTGGCATTTACTAGACTTACGCTGAAGCTCTCTCCAGTCAGGAAGGAGGAAAACAAAAATAAATGAGAGACTAAATATTGAAAACGGATTAAACACCCTCCTGTCTGTACCCCGGAGGTGGGGAGAAAGTGGAGTTTGTGACCCAGCTCAACAATCATACATGGCAAATTAACCAAACTTGTTTAGTTAGTCTATTGCTTAATGCAAAGACAAGCTTGTAGGCAGGATAATATTAGCCACGAACGCAGAAAAATCTGTCGTTTGAGTTCTCTGTTGATCTGCACTCTCAGGATGTTTAGATTGTCCACAAAACCATTTCACATAGGTCTCAAAGCAGACAGCAAATCTTCTGTGCCATAACTTAATACTTACAATAAAGTACCTAATGCTCTTCCACCATAAGAAAATTATTTCAACATAATCCAAAATACCTTAGAGATATATATTTCCAAATATGTTCTGTTCAAAAACATCTCAAAGTAAGTTATATCATTTTCATGTATTTTCATGAAATTACACTGTTTTGATGTTCTGTATTTGTTATTTTCAGAGTGGAGCTTCTTTAGTAACAATTACATTAATATAGTATTGCAAAGCAGGTGATGCAAGGCCAAATGGTGAGCTCCTCTTAACAAGTGTAATTTTCATACTGTGTAGCACATTTCAGAAAAAGTTAAGAAACGCAGATTGTTCACAGGAAGCTAAGAGGCTGATCTGTTCCACTTACACTGAAAATATAAAACGTTCAAAGTGCTTTGCTAAATACCTTGAACTTTGTAAAGTTAAAAGACAACACAGTACAGCTAGTGTTGGTATGCATTACAAATGCTGCAGCCTTTGCCCAACAAATCTGTTGGGTCTGATCCTCAAAAAGAAGTCGGAGACACTAACTTTGGTTACTCTGTGGTTTCAACCGATGACTGTTGACTGAAGTGGTGCAATAAACGTCAGGTTTCAAAGGAAAGAGAGGGTTTTTATTTAGAGACAGAAAAACCTCTACTCTCGAAAATTCAGAGAACAAAAAAAACCTAGCTTTCTGTGAGCTCTTACACTGATTGCTTTTAGAGAAAAGCATATGGATCCAACCGTAACTCCCTTTTGTTGCATACAACGCTGATATATATGTATACCCTCTATCAAACTAATACATGGGCACGAATATTCCAGTCTAAAGCCAGGCTTAAGTGAAGCTAAAATAGCACATAGTACACAGCAACAAATCTTAAAAACAGATGCGACTCCTTCCCAACAAGTTTTTTCTTTACATCAAAGGGGGAAGGGAGACAGAATTAAAATTAGGACTGTATCAAAATGTATAAAATTAAAATGAAACTCTATTATGTGGTATCTGCCATAACGTGATTGCGGTACTGCAGAACTTAAGAGTGGTTACACAATCTAGCTAAGTAGTTCTGAAACTGGAAGCACATGGTCAAAGGCCCATTAGGAGGTAACAAGTTTAACGAGAACAGCGCAAAAGATAGCGTAACCCACGCTTGAGCCAGTGCAGCTCTGCTCCTTTCACAACACGGCCCCAGCTGCTCTTTCATCAGTCATATCCCCTGCAATTATGATAAAGCCTCTCCTTTACTGGGGGTTTGGCTGCAGGGCTTACTGCTTTAGAAGCGGTTCTCAAATGGCAATGTTGGCGGTAAGGAAAAGGGGTATAAACTCTCATTTAAGATTAAAGCACTCCCCGACTTCTGAATATTTAGTTTTGCAGCCTTATTGAAATACACCCACGAGCTCTGGCAAGGTGGATATTATTTACAAATAAACTAGGAAAAAAGGAACTGTGGAGGCCTTTTTATCGTATTGTTAAAATCTCTACTTCTTTAAAAATAAACAAATTCAAGAGCAGGCTTTTAGGAAATTCTTTCTCTTTTCGAAGCTAGGGTGGAGTAGCTGCTTTATTCTATCTTTGTAAGGAAGAGTATTATGTTATAAACTTCGATGTTTCTGTTTTGCACAGACCTGAACCCTGTATGTAGTTTTCTAGCACAATAAAGATCCTGACTTGGCAATTAGAAACACATGCTAAGATACTCCAGTATAGTTATGGTTTTCTGATTATTCAAGGCTTAGACTTTCACATGATTTCAAAGCACAGCATTAGCTATGTTTGAATGCAGTTGTTTATGAATGTTTTATAACTACAAACCAGCGTGGATGTTTTACACCAACATAAAAACCCTCAAGCTACTTACACCTCCCTCTACAGCTCTCTTTTTTCCTATCATAAAGGATGTTATTCCTGCCCCCAAAGTAATCATTTATACTGTGCACAGTGTGTTGGCTGCAGAGAGCAAAAACGTAGTATGCAGCAGGGTCTTGAAAGAGTATGCTAAAATGCATGATCACACCTGACCCGTAAAAGCTATTTTAAAACCTAACTATCCCTTGCTACAAAAGGTTTCCCATTCAGCATTACAGTACGCATTATCAGTCCCAGTTGACTCTTCTATTATGCAAATACAGATGCAGAGGGGAAGCACTGCGACACCAACTCTTACGGTACCGTATCATCTTTTGGACAAGAGGACAAGAGGTTTAAGGCAGAAGTGGAGTCTATCTCTTTCCATCAGGCAAGATGGACTTACCGGGCTTGTGATCTAGACTTGGGAGATTTCAGTCTGTGACGTATGCTGCAGAGTATAGAATTTCTTCCTTTGCCACTGAACCGGGATGTGGGAAGATCCCCAAATGAACCCCTCTTTTTTGCAGCTCACTGAACAACCCATACAATAGCCCACACAGCAACTTGGCTTTGACATTGTGCAGGGGACATCAGAAAGGAACATCACGAACTTTGGTCAGTACACCCACCTCCAGCTTCCCTATCCATCTGCGTGGAAGCACACCAGATCATCACCCAGAAGTGGGAAGGAACAGAAGTGCAAAAAAGCTCATATTGCAACAGTACTGGTGTTTACCAGTTTTTGCATCAAATTAGTATAAAACCTATACATCACCAGACACTGCCTTACATTACCCCCCTTCCAGCACAGAGATAATTATACAGGCATACAGAACACGTATTTGTCATAGTTACTGCAATATAGCTTTATAAAGTGGGAAGTTCAGCAACTAAGCTGTGTATAGAAGAACACAATATGAAATCAAGATTTGCTTAACTTTTGTTATTGAAAATTATTCTGTAAAAAATGTTAAAATATCAATTATTATAAAAGTGTTCTCACATATAATGAAAGTTAAGTGTAAAGCTGAACTACTGTACACTTCATCCTGTGTTTAACTTCAAACTCATACGAGATAAATCATGACTAATCTCAGTTTAACCATGTTCAAATTAGTTGAGTATTTGTTGCTTATCTCTCCCACCAAGTTAAAGAAAAAGGCTATATTATTGGATTTATCAAAGATCCCCTTAGATGCTAATTTCTTAATGAAGGGATAAGAATCCGTGTTTACCACGGAAGGCCCTTTTAATTAAGTTTCTCAACTTTTATTTTTAAAAGAGCTCAAGGTTTCTATAAATTAACCTATTTAACATTAAGCAAATGACTGTTTTAGTAGAATCAAAGCCCAGAAAACACAGTGGGAGAGAAAAGTGTAGTATCTTTTAATCAAGTACAGTTGAATTTTCCTGATTTTCAAGTTTTACAGATACACATTCTCCCAAAGTTCTAAAATAAACTAGAAACCCCCCTGAGTTTGCACATTTCAATGGAAAAAGTACAGACATATGATAGGGTTTATTTGTTTGTTTGTTTGTTTAGTTTTTCACTTGCTAAAGCAGTAATTGTTAAATGCCGCTTCTGCTTTAATTGTTCCCTTTTCTCACTGCCTCAGAGGTCACACTATTGTGGTGCTACATGTCAAACTGGTACTCCTGAGACACACTAACAGCTAACATATGGATAAGCTAATTGGAGCCAACCTGTAAAGCAAATCAGTTGCTGCTTATGATCTGACTTTGGGTTTCAGATCTGACTTTGGGTTTCAGAGGGTTCTTGCCAGATTAGTTCTAGGCTGGCTCTGTGACTGAACACCCAGCTGCTGCTGAACTACGTTGCTTGATTTAGTTTCCTCCAAAAGGAATCTAATTTGTGCACTCTAAGACCACTCCAAGATGCAAACCGAAGTATGGTAAATTGGGATGCCTGGGGGAATCACTTCAGAATTGCACACACCTTACCTGAACTAAAACACTAACGAAAATGCACCCAGCACTTGTCTAAAGAAAAAAAAGCAAGCCACTCTGTATTAAAAATACTGTCTAAAAACATGTCAGCAACCAGGCAAACAGTTGCAAAAAAAGTGTCCTACCTTGTCATTATCATCCAACCCAGCAGGCAGTGTTTCTCTTACAAAAACTTGACTCATAACCAGCCTAATGTGCTTTGAAGATTACACTGGTGTTAGTCTTACTGGAGCGGGATAGGGAGGTTTGATCTATTCTTTGCTAAAATAAGTATCAGCTGATAACTTGGTGGCTCATCTTTTCAGTAATTTGCTGTTAACAGCTTTATCCTCTAGCTTTACTGAGTGGTAAATTTCCTGAGAAAAGCCAAAAATTTCACCTTTAGAAGAAATTTCTTATCTCAAAACTTAACATTTATGGTCAAAATTCTGAAGATCCGTTTCTCCCTTCACACATGCACTATGCTAGATCCTCCCCCACAATGCTCTCCACCTCCCTCAAGAAGCAAGAAACAGTACAGATAAAAGGTGACTCGCATAACTAAACCATGTTGCATAGGTATATGTAAGCACAATTTTTTAAAACATGACCTTAGCTACAGGTGAGTGAACAACAACAAAAAACGTCACAAAACAGAACTTTTATTCTTCCTAGGGACAGA